TGGAATAGAAAAAGAGCAGAGAGAGGAGTCCGCCAGAATAAAGGAAATAAAGATCAGAGTGGAAATAAATGAACTAGAAAACAGAAAAAGAATAGAAAGAATCAACCAGACTAGAAGTTAGTTCTTTGAAAGGGTCAATAAAACTGACAAACCACTGGCCAAAGTGGCAAAGGAAAAAATGAGAAGATGTAAATAACCAAATAAGAAATGAAATATCTGGTATTACAACAGAACCTACTGAGATAAAAAGCATCATAACAGAATAATATGAAAAATTATACTCTGACAAATTTGGAAACCTAGAAGAGATGGACGAATTCCTAGAAACACACTACCTACCTAAACTAACACAAGCAGAGGTAGAAAATTTGAACAGGTCCATAACAAAAGAAGAAATTGAAGATGTCACTTAATAAAACTCCCAAGAACACAAACAAACCAGCCCAAACAGCTAAACATTCAAAGAAGAGTTAACACTAATACTACTCAAACTATTTGAGAACATAGAAAAGGATAGAATTCTCCTTATTTCATTCTATGAAGCCAGCACAACCCAAATACCAAAAGCAGGCAAAGACACCAGAAAAAAGAAAATTACAAACCAGTATCTCTCATAATTATAGATGCAAAAATTCTCAACAAAATTCTAGCCAATAGAATTCAACAGCATATCAAAAAAAGTAATACATCATGATCAAGTGGGATTCATAACAGGGTTGAAGGATGTTTCAACACTAGAAAATCCATCAGTGTGGTTCACCACATAAATAAAATAAAGGAAAACAATCACATGATCCTATTAATCAACACAGAAAAAGCATTTGATAAAATCCAACAATCTTTCCTGATAAAAACTCTCAGCAAAATAGGAATAGAAAAAAAAAAAAATCCTCAACATAATTAAGGCCATCTAAGCAAAACAGTCAACATTTTGGAGAAAGCCTGACAACATTCCCCTTGAGAACTGGAATAAGACAAGGATGTCCTTTATCAATATCCTTATCCAATACTGTACTGAAAGTCCCAACTAAAGCAGTATGGCAACAAAGAGAAATAAAGGGTTATCAAATTGGAAAGGAAGAAGTAAAATTATCTTACTCATAGATGGCATGTTATTTCTATATATACATGTAAAATCCCAGAGACTTCACAAGAAAGTTCTTGGAGCTAATAGAAGGATTCAGCAAAGTATCAGGGTACAAGATTAACATACAAAAATGTAGCATAGTGCCTAAGGCACTTGACTGCTAACCAGAAGGATGGCGGTTCAAACCCACCAGCCACTCTCGGAAGGAAGATTGGGCAATCTACTTCCGTAGTGATACCACCTCAGAAGCCCAAGGAGGGGTCACATTGAGTCAGATCCGACCCCACAGACAGTGCATTTGGTTTGTTTTTTTGGTACACCAACAAAGAGGACTCTGAAAAGGAAATGAAGAAATCAATACTATTTACAATAACCCCCAAAAGGGAAAAAGTACCTAGGAATTAACCAAATCATGGATGTAAAAGACTTATACAAGGAAAATTATAAAACACTACTGCAAGAAATTTCATGCTCATGGATTGGAAGACTGAACATTGTGATAATGTCAATTCTACCAAAATCAATATGTAGATAATTCAATCCTGACCCAAATCCCAAGAACATTCTTTAATTAAATGGAAAAACTAATCTTCAACTTTCTATGGAAAGGAAGGAGGACCCAAGTAGCTTTAATATTGAAGAAGAAGAAGAAAGTAGGAGACTTCACACTTCTTAATCTCAAACTTACTATTAAAAAAAAAAAAAAAAAGGCAATGCCTTTAAGTTGATTCTAACTCAAAGCAACCCTATAGGACAGGGTAGACCAGCCCCATAGACTGTAATCTCCGAAAACAGACTGCTACATCTTTCTCTCACAGAGCAGCTGGTGGGTTCAAACTTCTGACTTTTGGTCAGCAGGTGACTGCTTAACCACTGTCCCACCAGCTCACAGAGAGAAAATCAAAGGTGGGAATAGACTTCTCTGTAGTAGTGAGAAATATGGACTATTTTCTGAGCTTTGGTCCCTTTCAACCCAGCCACCTAAATTACTTCTTTCCTTCTTCATCTGACTGCCTCTCAGCTTGAGTGCCAGAGATGACTAAGTCATAAAAGTTACTGCATACTTCAGGGAATCCACTGTAAGGAGACAAACAGGAGACAGGCAGCCTGATTCTCACCAAATCAATTCTGACAAAAATCTTAAGTTTCTGGTCTAGATAATTCTAGGGATTCTGTTCTCTTAATAAATTCAAGGATTTCAGCTTAGACAGAATTTATACCCAATCCTAAAACTGTCACACACACATACACACACAGAGACACACACACAAATTAGTCTAGAAAAACCTTTCTTCCTGGAACCTAAACTCACTCATTCCAGGCCTGTTTGAAAGTGTAAAACTATAAAGAGAATCCTTAAAATATATGAACACAGGTCTAACCATCATAGAAAATCCTTGAAACTGTTTTGAGAATAGTTCTAGGCCAAAAATCCTAGAGAAGTCCACAAACCAAGACACACCAGAATTCCCTAAATCAGATTCAGTTTAAGAATCTTGTATTCCTCTCCACCACTAGCATTCCTCTGTTGTAAAACAAGCCAATATGTGCTATCTATGTGCCATTGTCCTTTCCTCACCTTCTGGCTTCATCATTCCATGACCTACTACAAAGGATAAGGCAGTATCTCAGATAACACGATGTCCATCCTCCTAGAGGACCCCAAAAGCAGTTGTATACATTTTCTCTAAGAAATGATTGTTCTCCAAGTTTACATTTCTGCTTTGACATGTATACTATAAAAAGGGTGTGTATAAAAAGAGTGTATACTATAAAAGAGTGTGTTTTATAAAAGTTGGTAACATATCTTAAGTAAATGGTAATTATTTTTTTTTATCTGTAGAACAAAACTAGTTGTCCCTTACTTTGGATTAAGAAAAAAAAAAGTAGAAGATGAGGCATATCAGGCAAGAGTTACAAAAGAATATATAATAATATATTCATTCTAAGAATAAAAAAGAACTATTTTCAGTTAATGCACATAAATCCCAAAGTAACTATTCTCTTATTTCCTACTTCTTTGAATATCCAAAATCAGCTTCAAGGATAAAGACGCAGAGAAAGGCTAGTGAGGCATATGGTGAATGACTAACAGGATCAACCATTAAACAAAGCTGTACTAGCCTTCCAGCAACTTTTTCTCTGTTATTGTCTAAAATGGATATGTACTTTTAATATATCCTCAGACAACTTCTCTGTCCATAGCTTCTGGATAGACAATAAAAAATACTATTGCATAAGGTCATTGTGAGGGCTAAGTGAGATACCTCATGTGTAGTACTTGCTGAGTGCTCAATAATTGTTAGCAATCATAAAGACTGTATTTATTATTAGCTATTGAGTACTTACAGTGTTCCAGGTGTGATCTATTATCTCATCTAATTTCTTGCTTTTCAATCTGCTTTTTTCTCCAAAATAAGCATTTTTAGTTAATATAGCACAGACTGGCTCAGTATTTTATATATTTTTTTATTTTATATTTTATTATTTAAAGAATTAGATGAAAACTCAACTTCTGCCCAAATAGATCTCTTTTATATACTATTTAATGTATTGTTTCCAGCAATAGTCTACAAAATGTAATTTTTAGATGGGCCCCTTCTTCCCAGAACTGAAAGTGCACCATACCTCCCAGAGGAAGCTTTGGTTATGTTTGGTAACTCCCTGCTCCCCAATTCCATAATCCCAGACAATGCTTTAAATCTGAGACATATCCTGACTAGCCACAGGTTAGAATCTGTCACTACATCATTTAAAAATAAACCCAGTATTAACACCATTACTCTAGTCCAAGAAACAATTACAGACAAAGCATTTTAATAAATTCCTAAAGCCTGGAAAAATCAAATTCTTCAGTTTATCACTTGTTAATATGGACTAAACATAAGCTTTGTGAAATATCTATTTTCCCTTTACTATTCATCTCTTTTAAGAGTGAAGGAAAACCGTAAAATTTTAATTAAGCAATCCCTCCGAGAATTGAACAGTGGTAGCCAAAATCTATATGTAACAATTGCACACTATAGAATTACACAACAATCTTGCCTAGCCTACATTTAGAAAAAAAGGGTATTATCCATCTTTCAGATATATTGGGAGAGATAGATCAAAATCTGTCTTAGTAATGACTCCAGTGCACACCAAATATCTAAGGTGGTTTATTATTGTCACTAATCTGGTTCTTAATGCTGTAGATCAAACCAATCTCTTTACATCCTGCCTTTAGAACTTACTGAAAGCAAACTACAAGGAAATTATACTAAAAGACCAATTCTTGTGTTTCATTATATAACAAAAGAATTGGAGAAAGCTGGGGAGAAAAAAAATCTACCATTTACTTGTTAGCACATCGTCATGCCATGGTGATTTGATTAGTGATTTGATAAGTATAGATCACAACCCTAGACTTAATACTGGGTGGCCCACTTTTCAAATGACCCATTTATAACAAAGGTGCCTCTGTTGGGAATGTCAAAAGAGAAGGAAAAAAAAAAGTCATCAGTATCAAATACTTTATTTAGCCAGACATTGCAGAACAATGGAATTGTAAACTGGAGACCTTCATCTTAGCCTTGCTCTTCTAATTGTGTGAATATAAGTAAAGTCAGTATGATTTCCTGGTTCTCATGCTCTCTGTCACTATAATTAAATTAATAGTTTCCCTCAAACTACCCCACAGAGAGAAGACCTAACATGTAAGGAACATAATATAAATACTATAATTTGCTATAAGTTTCTTAGGAAACAAAAGATTTTAAATGTCTTAATTAAGAAAAATGCACAGATTACACCTGTTTAGGGAAGACTATTTATAAGAGAGATTTACATCACTAAGAATTATAAAATTCTCCTTGAATGCTTATGAATTTCAAACATAACACTCACCACAGTAGAAAGGGGAAAGATAACCTACCCCATGTTCCCATCCATTAGAAGAATCGTGTTGTATATGTGAGAAAATATGAAGAGAAAGAGAATTGTGCTGAAGAACATTGTCATCCATGACCCATGATCCTCTCGAAACATTTTTAGCCGGAGTAGCCGCCCTGAAATATAAATATTATTAGAGATCAACTTACAGTGGAACTCAAAATTCACATATCTTTACTTTATTTCAGTGGATTTCTATTATCTCATTATATGCTGAAGTCTCTGCCATAGAAAAGCCTTATGGATGAAACTACTATATAATATTCTTTTTGTCCTTTTAGAAATAAATGCTATGAATGAAGTCCAAGACAACCCTCACATCACATTTTCATCCTAGAGCAAATACTACTAATGTGAGATTCTAGTATACAAAGAGCATTTATTATGCTGGCATGGAAACAAGATGAGTGACAGTACTACAGCCTGCTATATTATATTTAATAAATGGTTTTGGTTCATGCTAAGGCTACTTAAAGCAAACAAGAAAGCAGTTGCATAAATTCTATTTGATTCCCTTTTTGCTACCATACCTGCATTACAATCATGGCCAGAAGATAAAACCAAGACAGAACTTATTTATAAGAAAATTCAACTGTTTAAGGACCATGAAAAATTGAAATGAAAAAAAAAAAAAAAAGTCTCTGTTGTAAAAGACAGATGCCTGAGCCCGACTCTTAAATAAAATGGTTTGTGCCCACATATATGCATATGCACAAGTGTGTGGGGACTTGGGGGGCATGAATTTATATTATGAAGCTTGAAGTGGTTCCTGGCAAAATGTAACTTGTGATGCCTAAAATTCCATTTAAAAAGATAAATGCTAAAATTAAAATGTTTAAAATGCAAATACTTCTCAAGGAAGAAAAATGTATTAAGATGAACACTAAAGTAAAAATGACCAATATCAGAATCAACCCAGAGAAAATGTTTTGATTTATGTTACAAAGAAAAATGAGGGCATTAAAACCTTAAAGGTAAGGAAGGTGAAAAACCACAAGTGAACACAGGTCATATTGGTTTCTTCCAAATAAACTTCGGGGCCAACTCGACGGCACATAACAACACAACAACAAAGCATACTTAGACTTTATGCCTAAGAAAATGAGGAGAGATGATAACTTATAGAAAACACCCTGGGGGGTACAAACGATTAAGCACTCCACTTCCAGCTGAGAGGTTAACAGTTCAAAAGCACCTCAGAAGACAGGCCTGGTGATCTGCTTCCAAAAGGTTACAGCCTTGTAAAGCCTGTAGAACAGTTCTACTGTGCAAGCATGGGGTCATGTGTATAAATTGTCTCAGTGGCAACTAACAGTAACAACAATCTTATAGGAACTACAATTAAAATAGGGTAGGTCTGAAATCTTACAATAACACTTCTCACTAGAGAAAATAATCCCTTTTTTCAATGATATGCCAAAATTATAGAAACACATACATATTCCCATTTGGAAATTATCTCCCTAGGGAGACAGTTTCTCTCATGTAACTTACTGAGCAGAGGAAAAAATACTCTTTTAAGACCTAAATACTGAACTTTCTTTTATACCTCATTCTTATTAAAATAGCACTTTAGATTCCATTTGGAAATCAGGCTTACAGAAACATTACCCTAGCTAAAACTTCAGATGGAGCAAAAACGGGGGATTTGGTTACACCATCTAGTTTCTTATTCTGTACAAGAGAAGCAAAGGGCAACTCTGTAAATCAGGAGGAATGTCAGTGTATAACTAAAATTAGAATATGGAAAACTCCTTACTCAAGCAAATGGTTACTAGTATTGTAAATTACAAGCCTACAGAACTTATTAATTAAATCAACAATTAGGGAAAGCCAGAAATCTGCAAGCCTCCACCACACATTGACAGGAATATTATAAATAGACTAAAGTCTTATCTGAGCGTAAAAAATACATGCCATAAGTATCTTGAAACAAATTGAAAAAAAATATATTCACTCACCAAACAAATATTTAATGGGTGTTTAGTACAGGCCAGACACAGTTGCAGGTGCTAGAGACTCAGCTATGAGCAAGACACAAGGGTACTTGCAGCCAATTTTTTGGGTATTTAATGGTAGCATGACCTTATTTTAGATTCACAGGGTCTTTTTGTTCAGGATTCCTTTTGCTGCACGTCCTTTCAAACTTAAACCAAGACCCATTTATTTAACTCAGTGGTTTATATGAAGAACTGTAAAGCTGCTAATTAGAGTTCCTTTAGGATTTAAATGTGAATTTCTTTCTTAATATATGCAGACGTCAAGAAATTAGGTAATGGATGTACTTTAAAAGTCAAATAATAATGCTAGTGATTTAAGAGTGCTCTGCAAATAAAACATTGTGGGTTAACTATATACTGGCTGAAATAATACAAAATTAGTAAAAAGTGAAATGTGACAGTACCATTTATGCTGTCATTACCAAGCTCTTTGTCTGGCATTAATTTCAGCCATTAAAGTCATTAGAAGAAAATGGCAGGCTAACACTGTTTGAAATTCACTTGAAAAGCACAATAAAAATGTTAAAAATATATTAAGGTCAGAATTGGTGTGACTCAAGAGTTCAGTTTAAACACATTATAAAAAATACCCGGAAGATACTTATGATTAACTCATTGAGTAACTATGCTCATGCTAGAGACATATATACAAAGACTGGGCCATCCACCTACTGTTCTCATGAATCACTCTTCTCATGCAATCTAATCAAACCTGAATTTCAGAGCTATCCGAGAATGTCACTGAAAAACTCATTGTCTCTATTCTGTAACATGACAATGCAACTGGTTTGCCTGGGACAGTAGTGGTTTATAACTGTTGTCCTTGCAGAATGATTAATAAAGTCCCTTCGCTTTCTTAAGTGCAATGGTTTGAACAATAGATTATATGATGCCCTACCTTTAAGTTACACAATTCAGACTGTGTACACTTTCCTTTAGAGAAGATTTTGAGAGACAATGAAAACAGGGCTTACAGATTGGCAAAAGGGATGCATGAAGAGGGGTGCATTTCTGACATAGGCCTGTTGGTGTTCTTAGTTACCAATGAGTCATTTCCAACTTAAGACAACCCCATGTGTGCAGAGTTGAATTGCTCAATAAGGTCTTCAAGGCTGTGACCTTCCAGAAGCAGATCACCAGGCCAGTTTTCCAAGGTACTTCTCAATGGGTTCAAACCGTCAACCTTTTGTCTAGTAGTTGAGTGTTCTGCAATGCCCAGAGTCTCCTAACATGGTCATAAATGGCATTTATTTTAATAAATATATCAGTATTATCAGTAAATATCAGATATATCAGTAAATCTAAGTGTATATGTATGTTATTAAAAAAATTTGTCTTGGGTTATATAAATCACTGCCTTTGGTTATGATTAAGGTAATTGGAAAATATATCTTAAAACAATCAGAATTAAAGTAATACATATAAGCCTACATGTGCGTTAGAGATAGGAATGAGAGGAGAGAAAGAGACTATTTGGAGTGTTGACTAAAGTCAACAGAAGTAGCCTAGAACCTCCAAATCTTTCCTAGAAATTGTAGTTTTAAGACCACCACTTAGATGTCATAAGACTCTAACAAAATCAACAATCTAAAAATTTAGTAAAATGGATACCCAAACTATGGTACATACACACAATGGAATACTATGCAACAGTAAAGAATAATGTAGAATCCACAAAACACCATACAACATTTATGAACTTGGAGACCATTGTGCTGAATGACATTAGTCAATCACAGAAGGATAAATATTGTATTAGTCCACTATTGTAAAAAGTCGAGGAAAGGTTTATATATAGAAGGAAACTTTCTTTCTTGGTTACTAGGGATGAGGGGGAATGGGGAATTGGAGGAAAAATTGCTAGATATATAAGTGACAAGTATTGATTTGGGTGAATGGAAAGGCAATACATGAAGAGCAAGTAAGCAGCACAATAACACTAAGGAAAAGGAAGACACAAATGGGTGCACAAGAGGTATAGACAGCAAAGATAAACATTTTTATACACACAAACCTGCATTATCAGTAATAACAAACATTCATCAATGGGTGGATACATAGGTAGACAGGCTGAATGAGCAGGTATGTCTAGGCAAAAGGGAATATACCCATGACCATATATAAGTTTGGCAGATGACATTTTTACATACATATTCATATGTGCTATAAGAATGTCCATATATATTATAGAGCTAAAAGGGAGCAAAGTTATGATAACTTCTTAGCCACAGCCTGAAGGAATGAGGTGTTGGGCTCGTGGGCTTGCAACCATGGTTGTGGGGGACATCAGGCTCAACTTGCATAACATACTACACAAAAACATTGTTCTATATCCTACTTTGGTGAGCAGCAGCCGGGGTCTTAAAAGCTTACAAGCAGCCATCTAAGATGCAACAATTGGTCTCTCCTCGTCTGAAGCAAAGAAGAATGAAGAAAATCAAAGATACATGGAAATAATTACTCCAAGGGACTAGTGGACCATGTGAACTTCAGCCTACATAACCATGAGACCAGAAGAACTAGATGGCGCCCAGGTACCCCTGTCAGCCTTGAGGAAAGGTACAAAAATAAGAGAGCCTGGATAGAGTAGGAGAAAAATGTGGAACAAAATTCAAAATAAAGACCAGGTTGACTGGTCTGATAGAGACTGGTGAAACTCCTGAGACTATGGTTCCTAGTCACCCCTCAGCCCTGGAATTGAACTCACTCTCATGGTTTTCAGCCAAATAATACCAAAAACAAAACCAAACTCACTGCCCATGAAGTCAATTCCAACTCATAACGACCCTTGTTGGATTTCCGAGATAGTATCTCTATGGAAGTAGATTGCCCAATCTTCTGAGGAGTGGCTGGTGGTTTTGAACCACCAGCCTTCTTGTTAGCAGTCAAATGCTTTAGGCACTATGCCACCAGAGTTCTTAGCCAACAGACAGGCATAAATTGTGAACATTTACACCAGGTAGGTACACTCCTTAGAACAATCAATCACGAGAGATCAGAAGGGCAGAGTGTGCACAGGGAGAAGCTCAGAGAGCAAGAATGCATAGGAAAGAAGGACACAGGAGAAAGGTAACCACAGGAGAAGTGGGAAAATAGCTGTTACATTATGGGGATTA